GTAGTCCCTGGGAGGGGGAGGGGGACGGTGGCCTGGGCTGGATTTAAATGATGTTGGGGGCGGGGTGGCGAGTGGATGAGCTGAGTTGAGGTGACAAGTATACAGACGACAAAGAGGGACAGATGGGGGCAGAAGGAGCGAGGCTAATTTGGTGCTGGGTCCTGAGGAGGTAGGACTGGGCGGGGGTCCGGCCTGGAGAGGGAGAGGGAGTGGGAGCACGGGGCCGAGATGGCAGGTGCACAGGCGACCAACAGCAAGAGGGGTGAGGAGGCCGCGGGCAGCGAGAGGGACGGGGTGTCCCCAGAGGGGAGGGAGGTAGCCTGGGAGGGGTACTAGAGCGCGGGCACGAGCGCCTGGGACCGAGGCAGGCCGGAAGCCGAGCTCCACAACCTGGCCGGCCTCTCCCCACCTCGACGCGGGGTCCGTCGGCGGGGTGTACCCAGGCGCCCGCCCGCCCGGCCTCCCCGCCTCCCGGCCTCCCGCTCCGCACCCACCTCAGGCGCTCGTCCCGCGGCTCCCGCCCCTGCCCCGGCTCGGCTCGGAGCCCCTGTCCGGGTGGCGACGAGAGAGCAGAGGAGGGACGGGCGCCACGACCCGGAGGGCGGAGTGGGCCGAGGGGCTCCGCAGGCGGCGGGTGGCGGGCGGCGGGCGCGCGCACAGCAGGGGCCCGTGCGCGCCGCCCGCGCCGGGCTCTCTCCCGGCTGGGAAGACCGCGGTGCGGCCGCTCGGCTCCCACCCGCCGCAGCCCCGCCCAGGCCCCATCAGATTGGCCCTCAATGACGTCCCGTCCCGCCCCCAGCTAAGTCTCATTGGACGTCGCAGAAGTGGTGGCGCCCTCCTGGGGGCGGTGCTTCCAGCGAGACGGGCGGTGAGGTGGAGCCAAGACCCCGCGGGAGTCCCGGAGGCGCCGACAGCAGTTGGGGCCTGAGGAGCCTCGGGGCAGCGCGGGGGCCGGAGAGCAGCCCGGGCTTCTTAAGGCCTTCTTGGCCGTGACCTGAGCAGTCGCAGCTTTTTCATCTACCAAACAGGGTTAATACCGCTCACGGAGTGGTTGTGAGGAAAATGGATGAAAGCTTTAAGCCACACAAAAGCTGTTACCATGGACAGCGCTGGCCTCAGGTAGATCTGTCCAGCTAGGGATAAGGGACAACTACCTGCCTGGCGCCAGGTTTTTTGTTTTGTTTTGTTTGCTTGCTTTAAGTAGGCTCCATGCCCAGTGAGGAGCTCCAACTCACGACCTCAAGATCAAGAGCTGCATGCTGTACTGACTGAGCCAGCCCGGTGCCCCATGGCCCGTTCTGATTTAGGGCGAATAAGGACTAATGTTTATTAGTTTTGGTAACTGGTGGCAAGATTCAAGTTTCTTTTTCTAAAGATCTTATTTGACACAGAGACAGAGATAGCGAGAGACAGCATAAGCAGGGGGAGTGGCAGGCAGGCAGACGGAGAGGAAGAAGCAGGCCCTCCGCTGAGCAAGGAGCCCGACGCGGGGCTCGATCCCAGGACCCTGGGATCATGGCCTGAGCCGAAGGCAGCTGCTCAACCGACTGAGCCACCCAGGCGCCCCCCCCCCTTTTTTTTAAGAGAGGGAGAGAGAGACAGGGTTGAGAGAGCGACAGAAAGAGAATCTTAAGCAGGCTCCATGGCCAGTGCAGAGCCGACTTCAGGCTCCATGTGGGGCTGGATCTCACAACCCTGAGACCATGACCTGAGCCGAAATTAAGAGTCTGATGCTTAACCAACTGAGCCACCCAGGCACTCCACAATTCAAGTTTCTAAACTCAAGATCTAATACCAGTCCCTTCCTTAGTAACCTTTAGTCCTGCCTGTTCTTAGCAATTGAATGTAGGCATCTTTTTTTTTTTTTTTAAGATTTTATTTATTTGACAGAGAGACACAGCGAGAGAGGGAACACAAGCAGGAGGAATGGGAGAGGGAGAAGCAGGCCTCCCGCGAAGCAGGGAGCCCGATGTGGGGCTCGATCCCAGGACCCCGGGATCATGACCTGAGCCGAAGGCAGACGCTTAACACCTGAACCACCCAGGCGCCCCTGAAGGTAGGTATCTTAACCTGTGGTCGAGTGCTCCCCTTCCTGAACTTCAGCCTGCTTTTCCTCCCCAACTCCCAGCTCTGATGGGAAGCCCAGGGCCACAGATGAGTCACCATCTCTCTGCCTTTCTCACAGGCTTTCCTCCCCAGCCCAATCTATGGCTGGTCCTTCTTCCATCCTTCTATGGTGTCCCATCCTAAACCCCAACTCCTGCAAATCCTTTCCAAAGTTCTTCTCACTTATGCCTACTACGGCATCTTTTATTTTTAAAAGATTTTATTTATTCATTTGAGACAAAGAGACACACAGAGAGAGAGAGAGAGAACATGGACAGGGAGAGAGGCAGAGGGAGAGGGAGAAGCAGGCTCCCCGCTGAGCCAGGAGCCCGACGTGGGGCTCGATCCCAGGACCCTGGGATCATGACCTAGGCCAAAGGCAGACACTTAACCATCTGAGCCACCCAGGCACCCCAGCATCTTTTTATTTTTTTACATTTCTTTTTCTTCTGACTCCTAGACTACTCAGCCACCAAGGATCTTTGCTTTACTCCCTCTGCTTCTGGCCTACTTCCACGTAAAAGCCTGAGGACAGGGGATATGCTCTGTTACTAACAAAATTCCCAGCTCAAAGCACCCTGCTTATTTATTGAACGCAATCGCCAAGGCCACCGTCTTTCAGTGGGTAACAGTGGTTTTCAGACTGTTTCAAAAAACCCTAAGGATACCTCAGGGGGTTCATAATTGAAATCTTGCAAAGTTTAAGAACTATAAAACACACTTTCCAAGTGAGATAGAGAAGATCCATTACGGAAGCTGTCAACAATAAAACGCTGGCTCCAAAGAAAGGAGTCATTTCTTGTGCACATAAACATTCCCTGAGGAAGGTGGCTGTGCAGGTGGAGTTTATGCACATGGCAGGTAAGGGAAGGAATGCCAGGGAAGCAAGGTCGAGGTGCCTCTATGCTCCTCATGAACAAAGCTTTCACATGTCCCACTGTGATACTTTCTCCTGTCATTCTTTTGTATTTATATAACTAACCTTCTGAAATCCCAAGATCAACCATTAGAAAACTGTCACCACTTGCATATGCAAGTCTAGCAGAATTACCTTCAAACCAACCAAAATATAGAAACAGGATACTAAAGTTGATTTTAACTCAAGTTTTGTATTAATCAAAACAACTTCTCTTTTGTAACAAGGAATTGTTAGAACACGAACTTACATGAAGGAATTAGAATAGGGACACCTGGGTGGCTCAGTCGGTTGAGGCTCAGACTCTTTTGATTTTGGCTCAGGTCATGATCTCAGGGTCATAGGATCAAGCCCCGAGTCCGGCTCTGCGCTAAGTGTGGAGTCTGCTTGAGATTCTTTCCCCCTCCCTCTCCTCCAACCCCCACTCATGCTCTCTCAAATAAAAAAATCTTAAAAACAGGAAAAGAAATCAGAACAAAGTTCTCAATTTTATATCTGCTTTACATATTGGACTTCAGCAAAGATTTTCATTTGGGATTAAAAGTTGTATTTGAAAACACTTAGAAACCACTGCCCTTCAGGTTTAGGATGAAATGACTTTCTCAATCAGGAAAGGCGGTCAGGAGATAAACCACCCAGCAGGGAGTTCTGTGTAAAAACGTTTATTTGTACTAATGTTTAGAATACAGGAACTAAAGAAAGAAAGACACCTCAACTCCAAAGCGACAGTGAATTAGGACCTGCCCACAGCCAAGGGGAAGGCCACTCCAGGGGGTCCTGGTATGGACTATCTCCCCCCACTACTTCATGTCAGTGTCACCAGACAAAAAAACTGAGGAATCAGGGTGTGAAGACCTTACCAGCTGCTAGCGAGCGTGCAAGGGAAGAAAGGGATGTCTATGTGGCTTCCCTGTGACCCAGGGGCCAGGATACACAGAGCAGGAGGCAGAGGCCCCCAATTCAGTCAAGGGCAGGAGCTGAATGTCCAGGTCCAGGAAGAACAAAAAGGGGATTTCGGAGGTAGGCTTTTTTCATCGAGTTAAAAAACAGGCACATTATCCAATGTCTCCCTGTGGCCCCCAAGCTGCTGGCCTGGCCCCCTGATTCTTCCCCTCTCCCCACAAAACCAAAGGGAATAAGGAGGGGAGGCAGAAGACAGGAAATTCCAAGGACGGGGAATGCTTCGGTCATTAAGAGACCGCCTGTGAGCGAGCCAGGTGAGCACAAGGAAGAATCAGGTGAAGCTGCGACTCCCCCTGGGGT